CGTGCGTGCGTGTATGTGTGCATATGTGTGTGTGTGTGTGTGTGTGTGCGTGCGTGCGCGCATGTGTGTGTGTGTGTGTGTGTGTGTGTGGGTGCGTGCGTGCGTGCTCTTGGGTATGTGTTAGTCTGGCTCTTATTGTTGGGAGTAAAAAATTCAACAGGTTATTATAATTTTATACCTACTGACAAGAAAAACAACAAAAAACAACAGCCTTTGCCCTCGGGAAAGCCTATAACTCCGTAGGTAAGGTTTTTTTTTTTTTTTTTTTTTTTGGGGGGGGGGGTTCACCTGGTATAATATACATTGTAATTCTTGTGAAGGAAAGACACTGGATATATTTTTATGTTGCAACATTGACCACTGTAATTACAGAATGAAATTTAATCTATAAACCTTTTCTCATTGTAAGCAGTTTTAAACTGTCAGCTTTAAATTCATTTTCCTGCAGACAAAAATATGTATCATGCACCAAGATACACTGAATGTCCTGAGTTCCATTTTGAAAGACTTCTCTCTCCTGACTCTACCACAATAAAGAAGTTTATTAGAAAGAGATAAAACATCTGTTTGTGAAATAGTCGTATGGATGTCCAGTTAATCTGTTGGTTATATTCCGGGCTGTGATGTGGTGACCCTTGTTGGATTCCCCTGAAGGAACTGTTTTGTTTTGAGTTGTTTGGGAAATTTTCACAACTGTCCACTCACTTAAGGCTATGAGATATGTTAGTTAAACCTGAAAATGTGGCATAGTCTGGTCCCTAAGTCTGTGTACTCCAAATACCCACTATGTCAGTATTCCACTACTACTTTGAACTTGACCATCCATGCAAGCCCATGAATCAGAAACCCAGGGGAACCAGTATAATTAGTCTCTGAACTTCTGGATTCAAAGGGTGTAAGTTACCTTACAATGTTGATGGGGGGCATTAAAGCTGTACTACGCCTTTATCGTCACAGGCAAGGTGGATCTCCAGGGGTCAGTGGAGGATAGGCTTCAGCAGCTGGACCAGAGAGAGACGGAGCTACTGGACGAAGTTGACCGCCTCAAGTCCAGTCTCCGCAGACATCGAGATGACAAGAAAAGGACTGACGAGTGAGTTGTCTTGACCTTTTTGCCTCCGCCAATCAACCATGCTTGTAAGGGCCAACCCTGGCAAAGAGAAACATAATAACCCAGCAGAAAGATGGAGGTGCTCGATAAAAGATCCGTACAACAGCAAAGCACCTAACGCTCACAACAGATGTTGGTCCTCCGGTTGTTTTAGATGAGACTCGATATTAAGGAAAAGCAAATTGTCGTATTGGAAACAAAAGAATGGTTTCATTTTGTCTCTTTATTTCTGTTTTTGGGAGTTTTCTTCGCCTCGTGTCCCTTTATCGGGTGCCATGTTAATGATCTGTCTCTTTATTTCTGTTTTTGGGAGTTTTCTTCGCCTCGTGTCCCTTTATCGGGTGCCATGTTAATGATCTGTCTCTTTATTTCTGTTTTTGGGAGTTTTCTTTGCCTCGTGTCCCTTTATCGGGTGCCATGTTAATGATCTGTCTCTTTATTTCTATTATCTAGTTAGATTTGAGTGTTTTTTTGACAATGCTTTTGCTTCTAGGATAAAATTGCTTCTGTATAGGATATTATATTCCTTTTTTAAACTTCATAAACATTTTCTTGGGAAATATCTGGCTTTGCCAGTTTGCACCAGACAATGTCTAATTCTTTTACTTTCTTCTGTGTTTTTTTCCCTTTTCTTGAAGTGTGTCGAATTCTTTATTTTTTACAGAACGAAGAATAAATGCTCTGGGCATATATACGTATGTGAAATGAAATATAATAATAAGAGTGCTTATGGCTAAGGTAGAATAGGATTACAAATACAATGAAGTAGCGATGTGGTGTCTATGTTTGATTCTTTGCAATGTAATGTCTACATCTGAGTCTTAGTTCATTTCTCTCTCTGTGAGTGGTTGGCAGGTGCTCTGGTGTGGTTTGCTCCTTCTATCCCATCAAACATCTATTGTCTTCATCTCTCCTCCTTTTTGGTGTTTGTTACTCTCTTGTAACACCTCTAATCTTCAGCACTTATATGACCTTATTGTGTTGCAAGTGCCGTAAAACACTTACTAAAACTAATTTCTCTCCTGCAGCGGCTCCTCCCTACCACCCACCCCGAGAAGGAGACAAAGGTACGTGGGTGTCCATTCTTCTCTCAGTGTGTCCATGGTCATAGAAATAACTCAATCATTTTAATTTAATGCTTTGCTGAAATAATCGGTAGCATTTTAATAAATTTTCTTTCAATACACCTTAAAACAAAAGGGGAAAAAAGTAAGGAATCATTCTTTGTCCTGCAATTTGATCCACCCTTCATGAAGTAGGGATTTTTTCCACTTTTACTGCACTCAATTTTCGCTAGACAGGGTGAAGAGCAGATTCCGTAATTTTGCAATCCCTCTTGAAATATAAAATTTTTGTGCTGTGTACATTTTTTGTCACCGCACATTTTGAATCTGCCATTAGTTTTCCAGCAAAATTCCATTCAAAGCTTTTGTAGAACAGTTATAAAATCTTTAATGGTGCATTTTAGGATGTCCATGTACATTGTTTGGGAGGACAACATCTTGGCTCACAATATTTAACAACATACAGTGTTCAGGAGCTCTCATGCGGGGGTTAATAGATCCTAATCTGAAGATAATTTTCCTATGAAAAACTGTAGACCATAACAAGAGTGCTAGAGTAATAGAGATAAGTCAGCGATGAATTGTCTAGTAGTTTGTTTGTTGTGCTGACTGATGACTGTTGTGCTGACTGATGACTTTTGAGCTGATCAATGACTGTTGCGCTGACTGATGATTGTTGTGCTGCCTAATGATTGTTGTGCTATGATTATTGTGCTATGACTGTTGTGCTGACTGATGACTGTTGTGCTGACTGATGACTGTTGTTCTGATCGATGACTGTAGTGCTGACTGATGATTGTGTTGCTGACTGATTACTGTTGGGCTGACTGATGACTGTTGTACTGACTGATGACTGTTTTGCTCACCGATGATTCTACTTTCTCCAGCAAAGCCTATGAGGACGGAACAGGAAGCAGACCACAAAGTGGGCGAAAGTCGTCTCGTGTGGAGGCAGGGTCAAGGCCAACAAGTTCGCGGTCGCGCGACGGACGAGTGGAGAATTTCACGCAGAAGCACGCAGCCACCAGCATCCAGCGACAGTGGAGAAATCGGCAGCAGCGGAAACAAGAGGAGGAGGTGAGTCGATGGCACGAGTTTGTGTTCTTGTCGTCGAGTGGTTGTCCGGTACTTCCAGGGGGGGGGGGGGGGGGGTGGGGAGATGTTGTTGCTGCTGTTGCTGTTTTGTTGTTGTTGCTGTTTTTGTTGTTGCTGTTATTGGGGTTGTTGTTGTTGTTGTTATTATTGCTGTTTTGTTGTTGCTGCTGTTGTTGTTGTTGCTGTTTTTGTTGTTGTTGCTGTTGTTGTTGCTGTTGTTGTTATTGTTCCTGTTTTGTTGTTGCTGCTGTTGCTGTTGGGGTGGTTGCTGCTGTTGTTGTTGTTGCTGTTGCTGCTGTTTCTGTTGTTGTTGTTGTTGCTGTTGCTGCTGTTGTTATTGTTGTTGTCTGTAGTCTTTGAGCATATGCCGTTTGGACCAATTACCTGTCACCCATCATCATGACTGTGTGTGTCTGTTGATGCCCCACTCCTTATCACAACAAACCTCTGTCCTCTCCCAGTCTCTGATTTGATATATGTGAGGCAGCATGGTGAAATCAGGTGTTCGTCAAAATAATTAAAGTGAAGAAACTGGCATTTTTTCCACAGGTTTGTGAATTTTTATATAATTTTCGTTTTTTGGCTCAACACCTTTTATGCCTATTAAAGAACACATTTCTGTGTGGATTTTACTGAAAAATGTTGATTAAAGGCATAAAAAATGTAAATTTTCATTCTTCATGGACTAAGGAAGTAACTCATCTTTGAGGGCCATTTTCTCTCTTATTTTACCTCTTAAAACCAGGTGACCCTCACCTCTTTCATTCGCAAATACCTTGACATCTATTCAAGATAAATGGATATTTTTTCCATCCAAAGCAAGACAAATGAACAAGCTTTAAGATGATATCAATATAGCTACATGCCCAAAAATTGACGAATGCCTGATTCCTCTGCGTCGCGACATATATTATTTCCTGAAGTTGCAGACAGTTGTTCTGGGACTTCGGTTCAATGCCGATGGAAAGAAGATTGGGTGGTTAGTCTCTTCCCATTGAGCTCAAAAGACTTGGGTTCGATTCCGATGTAAAGAAGATTGGATGGTCAGTCTCTATCCATTGAGCTCAAAAGACTTGTGTTTGGTTCCAATGTAGAGATGATTGGATAAAAAGTTGCTGTCTTTCTGCAAGGATGTGGCTCATGAAGTTGTGAGCCTCTAAAGGATCTAAATAGTGTTGTTGAGGGTGTATAAAACTTTCCACAACAGTCAGTAGCTCAATTTTCTATTTGTGTATTTGATTTAATAATATGGGGAAAGCTGTAAGAAATAGAAAAAGGAAAAAAATTTCTGATATGCATTACGGTATCAGATACTATCATTATTGAAACTATGTTTATTGGCTGGATGTGGGGAGTCATTATTGGATGGTTTATACTGTTTCTTTTCTTTCTGTGAAATGTATAGTGAAGGTGGAAAATTAGATTTGGTCACTTCTATTGCATGTTGTTAGTTTACTTTGTTTCTCATCCTTTCCTTCCCTTTTATTTTTGTTGAAAAAAATTTTTTTTGGGGGGATGTATGTTTATCTGGTGTTTCTTCCAGTTTTGAGGTACATTCAAGAATAGATTATATTCTATTGTGAGCAAGAAATTAGTTTATCTTTCATGTCTTTATGACTATGACTTGTAATCACTTTTCGGTACTCTGTGACACCGATGTTTTCAGCAGCGGCAAGTGGCGGCCAGGAAGATTCAAAGCGTGTGGAAAGACCGGAAAAATAAGCAAAATGTAAAGTTTTTATTTCTTTGTTTGCAGTTCCATATATTGTGCAGTGAATCGCTTTCTGGCCTGCTGCATATTGCGCATAATTAGATGATGAAAGAGCTTTGTGAATAAGCTTTACACGACCTCAGTGCTTTCTTGTCCTATCTCCATTTTTTTAAACATTGAAAATGTGACTTCTTCTTAAGCTCACTCTTTGTTATGAACTGTTTTCACTCTTTTTAAAAAATGGAGATAGGACGTTGGCGGGTGCTCTGGTGTGGTCTGCTCCTTCTTTCCTATCAAACATCTATCATCCTTATCTCCCCTCCTTCTTTTTTATGTTTGTTACTCTCTTGTAACACCTTTAATCTTCTGGCGCTCATATGACCTTGTGAGGTTGCGAGCGCTGTAAAAACCTCTATACAACAAAAAAAAAGGAGATAGGACAAGAAAGCACTGAGGTTGCGATTAAGCATTTTTTTGGCTGGGACTGATGCTTTAATGAGTTCCTGCTTTGGGAACTTTGTGAAGTGTGTTGCTGTCCTGGTGTTGGCTACTGCAGACTTCAACAATGATTGATGTTGACTCCTGACTCCATGCAATAAATCTTTGCTTGATTGCTGTCCTGGTGTTGGCTACTGCAGACTTGATCAATGATTGATATTGAGTCCTGACTTCATGCAATAAATCTTTGCTTCCTGCTTCTGGGATTGTAAGCTTTTGGAGTTATTAACCCTTGGGAAGTCAAGTCAAGGCAGCAAAATCTTTATACTACTAAGGTTTTAAGTTTTTGATCAAAATATCTTACTCTCTCTGATGTGTTTTAAAAAAAAAATTATTCTCATGTTAAAAAACATTTTTTAAATTACTTTTTTTTCTTGTTCCATTTAGCTGCTTTTTTAGACTTTGAAAAAGTATTCATGCACAGTCTTTTTCTTGCCTATCACTCTGACCTACCTATCTTGTGCCTTTCTTTTCTATTGGGTTTCTCTACACTAACAAAGAACATCACTGTCCTGCTGTTAACCTGAGAGAAAGCTTGGCTTTGACCTTTACTAGCCTATTTCTTTTTAGTTTTAATAAGAGTTGTACGGCACTTGCAACATAAATACATCATACAAGTGCCGAAGATTAAAGGTGTTACTAGAGAGTAGCATACAGAGAAAAGGAGGAGGAGAGGTATAGATGATATATCTTTTATAGAGGAAAGAAGGAGCAGACCCCACTTGAGCACCCACCGACCAGCCACTTATTACTTTTCTTTGAATTGAGTTTCATCTACACTCAATTCTTTGTTTTTGCTTCTGTGAGTCTTTTTAATGAAGAATTAATCCTTCTTGAGAACAGTTTCATATCCTTCTAAAAAGATTTTTCTACACCCTCATAAAAAAAATTTCATGAGTTTGAAGTGACTGTGACTTGCAAAATCTGTTACAAAGAGCTGCCAGTGCTTGTGGTATACTGCCATCGGCTGACAAAACGCCTTTTTTTAATTCACAATTGTTTCGAGAAAAAAGGCTTTTTGTCTGTGTAACCATTAAAGAATAGGCGTTCTTACAAAATTCAAATTCTAATTCATTCAAAGACTAGTCACAGTTTCACTTTGATTTTTTCACACAAGTAAAGTAACTGATCAGGCTTTCAGTTTAGCAAATTAAACAAAATTTGTGTTCCAAAAATGGAAAAAGGCATTTGTCAGCCTATGGCAGTATAATGGTTCTGCTTTTCTTCATGTTCAGAAAAGATTTAAGTTCAATTCTCATTTTGGGAAATCACAAGTATCTCCGTATGTCTGCGGTTAAGGTTGTATGGTACAACACAGTCCGGTTTGGCCTTTATGGACAGGTTTGAAACAGGGATCTGTCTCAGTTGTGTTGTGTCAAGGGGGGATAGGGGGATGGGGTAAAAGATACACTCTCAGATTTTTGTTCTGCTAACTAAGAGCGCAAAGGTACTTTTATTTAGCTCCTGCTTTGCTTTTTTTATTTGCTTCATTCATATGCTGTGCTCTACTGCAGCGTTTTCTTTTGTCCTGTAGCTCATGACTCTGAATTTTGGTTTCATTGTTGACTAAATGTTTTCCTTTTGAAATTGAATGAGCAAAAAAATAATATTTTTTAATGTGTTTGCAGATTTAATGACTTGTTTTCATTCCTACTAACCTCATGTTTATTCATCATCATAAAGTGCCAGATCTAAAACAGATATCTTCGATCATGGTTATCCATTCATTTCTCAACTTGGATGCTCTAAAAAATCCCTCTTTATCCCTATGTTTCTACGTTGTGTGTTTATTAATGATATATAAATAATGTTTGACAATTTCAACTGTACTTTTTTCCTTGAGAAAAGTAGAGATATGTTGAGTAGATGTCGCTATTTAGATCCCCTGATTTAAACAGTTTGCCAAGTCCGTATATCCTCACCAGGTAGCGTAGAGCTCAGGCGCAAACGTAGGATTTATGCGTGATGACTGATAGTTGGGCCCCTCTCTTAGAAGAGAGAATGCTGCTGTATCGCTTATGTATGTTGCAAGGTTCTTTACGCTGATCTCTTTTGTATTTCCCAGGTTCAGGCCTTTAGGGAAAATCGTGCCGCAAAGAAAATTCAGCACGAATGGTTGGACTACAAACACCGGCGGTATGACGACGAAGTAGATCAGGTGAGGTTATAATAATAATGATAATAATAATAATTGCATTTATTTAGCTCATATCCACGCTGCACAGCATGCTCTATGCGCTTTACAACCATTATTACCCCCAGCAGACCTTAGAACACTTAGACAGACCCTAGACTAGAACACTAAGAAACATTCTCGGCTTCCTGGGAAGCACGCATAGATTTATTATATCTTATTTTCTTCGTGGGTGATTGGCAGGTGCTCTGGTGTGGTTTGCTCCTTCTTTCCTAAAAAAAATCTGTCTTCTCTATCTCCCCTCCTTCTTTTTTGTGTCTGTTACTCTCTTGTAACACTTCTAATCTTCGGCACTTATATGACCTGATTGTGTTTTAAGTGTGGTAAAACTCTTACTAAAGCTTATTTTCTTGTCAAATTTTTTGTCATCTTTTCGACACCTTAATCATGTGGATGCTATACCTAGGTTGTTCTATTCTTGGGAAATGTTTTTTACTTTATTTTCTCTTGTCATCTCAGTGGCCAGTAGATGTTAGGCTATTGGCAAAGAGAGAAAATGTTCGCTAGTAGCTAGTGTTGGATATCTTACGGGCTGCCACTCTCTATGTCCCCCAGGGTTGGGTTGGTGAAATAGAACGCTCTAACCAGCCTGGAGGAGAGAAAGAGACTCTGGATTATTCTCTGCTGTACTGTTTATACTAATTTTTTTTTAACCCTTCCAGCCCCGAGCGTGTATATTTTCAGCAGTGCGTGTACCTCCCACCGTCCCAAGAGCGTATATTCTCAGTTTCTGGGAGTACTAAATTTGGGCAATTTTCAAAATTAGCGAACCTAACTAAAGTTTAATTTTCATAATATTTGTTCATTTACCTTTAAACATTTTATATGTTATTATCTAAACATCATTACACAGTTACTACATCACTTTTTAGAATGCATGCCTCTTTTTCTGAAATACTGCTGTACTGGCTGAGACTGGGGTTAGGGAGTACACACAAATGGCTGGGGGGCTGGAAGGGTTAAATCTTGTGGGTGGGCGGCCTTTGAAGGACAGAGTCTGGAAGTGAAAACAGTAGGCAATGGGGAGCCACAGCTGAGGTTTCCCAACAAATTGGGAAAAGCTAAAATAATTTTTCAGACAGCAAAGAAATGAATTGTGAACTGTAGGCCATTATAAGATAATTAAAGTTTTGTAGTTACATCCTCGGGCCGCAAGGCTAGAACTCAGATGGCCTCGGAATCGTAGAAGTAAAGTAAAGTAAAGTAAAATGAAACAGTTACGTCCCTGTACGTAATGGAGTAATATACATAATTGGGAAAAAAAGTACCAGAGTGCCTATTTCTGGTCTTGCACTTCTATTGACACAATACTTGCTCCACCTAACACTAATCAGATAGTGTCCTTTTGATAGGATTGAGCAAGGGAAAAATCAATGATCTTATTTCCTTCTGTTGTCTTATATTGTCTTCTCTTGTCTTATTTTCCTTTTTTCCTTCTCTTGTCTAACTTTTCTTCTCTTGTCTCATTTTGTCTTGCCTGTCTTATTTTCCTTCTCATATTTTCCTTCCCTTGTCTTATATTGTCTTGTCTTGTCTTATTTTCCTTGTCTTATTTTCCTTGTCTTATTTTCCTTGTCTTATTTTTCATCTCTTGTCTTATTATCCTTCTCTTATTTTCCTGCTGTCTCTGCCCCCCACAGGCGGCCTACACCATCCAGTCCGCCCTGAAGGGACACCGGGCCCGCAGACAACGCATGAAGGACTGGGATCCCGAGGACTACGAGTCGAGCGAGACGGACGACGGAGTCTTCCTGATCCAGTCCAGCCTGAGGGGCCACCACACCCGCACACATCAGCTACGCAACTGGAGGAATCAGTGAGTGGCTCATGGAGAGAGAAGGGAAATATAAGTACTGTAAGATGTGACTGGAGGAATCAGTGAGTAGTTGTTCTCTCTCTCTCTCTCTCTTTCTTGTGGCGCTGTGGCGTCATAAACGGTCAGCGATGCCGACAGCACGCAGTGGCTCGCGGAGAGAGATGGGAAATAGAAATGCTGTAGGGTGTGACTGAAAAGAATCAAAACTGTGTAAAATTTGAGTCAAACCTCATAGAATCTGCATTGTTTTCTTGTGTGTGACTGAAAAAAATCGAAACTCAAAATTTTAATCAAATTTAGACCTATTTGTGCTGGAAGCGCCGTTAAGTGAGTGGTTGGTGGGTGCTCCGGTGTGGTTTGCTTCTTCTTTCCTATCAAATATCTATCGTCCTTATCTCCCCTTCTTCTTTTATATGTTTGTTACTCTCTTGTAACACCTTTAATCTTCTGGCGCTCAAATGACCTTATGCAGCTGCGAGCGCCGTAAAACCTCTACTAAAACTAAACTAAACTAACACCTTTAATCTGTGTAACTTTCTTGACTTATATTTGTGTTGCAAGTGCCATAAAACTCTTCAAAAACTAACTCCAACAACTCTTTCAGGTACAGCGACGACGACGCTGACAGTGTGCTCAGCGGGTCGTACGGGCGACGCCTCAGCCGACCGTCCTCCGCCCAGCGACCGTCGTCAAGCGGACGTCCTATGTCGGCGGGACGTGCGTCTATAGGCAGCCGGCCGGGCACGGGACAGAGGCCTGGCTCAGCACAGAGGCCACTCTCAGGGTCAAAGGTGAGAAATTGATTGCTATGGAGATACTTTCAGATTAGTCCCGATTAGGACGGTGGCTGATTGGGACGGTGTATTTTTTTAATTTCTGGAAGCAGATGATAATAATAATAATAATAATAATAATAATAATAATAATAACAGTAATAATAATAATGATAATAATGAATTAACAATAATAATAAAATAATAATGCAATAATAATAATAATAATAATACAATAATAGTAATAATTATAGTAATTATAATAACAATAATAATAATGATGATGATGATGATGATGACAATAATGATAGTAATGATAGTAATAAAACAACAATGAAATAATAATAATAATAATAATAATAATAATATAAAAAAACAATAACAGTAACAATAATAATAATAACAACAATAATAATAATTATAATAATAATAATAATAATAATAATAATTCATCCATTATGAATTGAAGCGTTGGACTGGAATACTTTGGGTATGAGATCAGGATGAAGTCTGTGAAGAACCTGGAGAAGAGTCACAGAAATTGGTGTACAGAAAAGTGGACAGACATGAAATAACATCAAGAGGCTAGCCCGGAATATGGAAAAATGGAAAGTGTTTTTTCATGGTATAGACACTGATATAGGTTGGGAAAGTCATCGAAGATGATGATGATGATGATGATGATGGTGATGATGATGATGATGACCATGAACTGCTGGTGACCTTTAACATCCTAGGAACAAGAGAAGTTTTAGACATTGGGTTGCTAGCATGGGAAAGAGAAAAAAGTAAAGAAAATTATAGCAAGTACCTTGTAATGACGACAAACACCACAACTCGCTTCTGGTGTGGTTTGCTTCTTCTTTCCTATCAAACATCTATCGTCCTTATCTCCCCTTCTTCTTTTTTATGTTTGTTGCTCTCTTGTAACACCTTTAATCTTCTGGCCCTCATACGACCTTATGCAGTTGCAAGCGCGGTAAAACCTCTTCTAAAACTAAAATCAGGTACAGCTCCACTTTGTGTGGGAGGAATTATATAACACTTTTCCAAACTTTGCTTTCAGAGAGGGTCCGTGTCTCACACGTTCAAAGCGCGCTACGACGTCCCCAGTCCCAGCCACCTGGACGATGACGACGATGATGACATCATGATGTAGCTGAGCAGATTACCGACGAATGTCTCTCCTGTATTGATGATGATGTCATGATAGAACGGAACAGATAACTCTTTGCAGTCTCTCCTCTGCTGTGTTCAGGGAGAATCGAATATTTTCAAATGAAAGCAGTATTGGCTTATGATAGAATTCTCAAGGAAAGAGAAAGAGAGTAAGGCCTCAAAGATTGAAAACTTACGGCTTGACATATGGCACATTGTTCTTAACTTGGTCTTAAGATCGCACCATATAGCAGCAGTGTTTTAGAGTGTTACAAGAAATCTGATAGCGTAACAGGGTTGCACTCTTGACCTTTGTATCAGTCACGGGGTGACCTTCCAAGTGGGCAGTTGAGGAAAATCTTGATGGGACGTCGCATCATGAAATAATATCAAGAGGCTAGCCCCGGATAGGGAAAGGTTGAAACTGTTTTGTTTGTGATCTTCGATCAGTGGGCATTCAGCATGGTTCGTAGGACTGAAATATCGGTCCGCTCTCTCGGGGCCCACATATAATTTATGTACAAGTGAGATATTTGTAACTAAGTTTGTTCTTACTGTAGGAACTGAATAATATTCTCTGGAGGAGGTGGTGTTTTTTATCAGCCCAGGTTGAAACAGTCATGTCATGTGATTGACACTGAGGGAGCTAAAATGAACTTTTCGCTGTCTTGAGTTTTAACCCCTTCACTTCCGTGCCCAAAACTGAACGAGCTCTTACATGAGATAATACTATAGTTCTGGCAGTGTCGGGGTTAACAAATGTCAATAGCTACCGTTCAGATCCGTCCTGTCCTCTGTGACTTGTAGTCTCCAGCACTTATATATACAGACTATTATTTTAGTTTTTGTAGTTTACTCATGGTTTATGGAATTTTGTTTACTGCTGTTTTCAAGGACAGCTATTTCGTATTTTGTGTAACGTTTTGTTCTCCGAGATATTTACTACACGCGTAGAGATATATATGTAGATACATAATATAATATTTAAGTAAATTATAGTTCAGATTTGTTGATATAATTTCCTATTGTCAATGTATACCATATGTTACTCTCGGTTGTTTATGGATCAAAATTATTTGTTTTTAATTGATTAATTTTGGTAATGGTATTCAATTTTGGAGATCATTTTTCAACAGTGTTCATACACTTGTGTATATGTGTGTGTGTGGGCGTCTGTACTTACATGTTCATGAAAGTTTTGTTGGTGCATTTGTTGTGTGTGATTGGGACTGTGGTTGGGTGATGAGGAATGTATGTGTGTGGGTGTGTGTGTGTGAGTGTGTGTGAGTGTATGTGTGTGTGTATATTTGTGTTTGTGTATGCGCATGACAATATATATTGTAAAGACCGATGTTTTTTTGTGTCCTAGATGATATTTATTGTTTAAAACTTTCAGTTTATTGAAATTTTTCTCATATGATCTTCAATCAGTGGGCATTCAGCATGGTTGGTTGGACTGAAATATCGGTACACTGTCTGGGGGCCCACGTATAGTTTACGTACGAGTGAGATATTTGTAACTAAGTTTGTTCTTACTGTAGGAACTGAATAGTTTGATTCTTCCACTACAACATGCCGACTGATTAGTTCAACATCTTCTCATTCATTGCGACGCATCGCCTTGACTATTTCCTCTTTGAATACTTGAATTATTCCAGTCTAGACTTTCCTAATAATGTCCATGTTTTGATTTTAAAATGTTCTTTTTTTTTTAGGGGGGGGGGGGTTCCACATCACCTGTCAATTTTCTTTCATTTGATGCATAATAAGTTTTATTTTGCTGAACAAAAAGGTAAATCACTTGACCAACCAAAACTCATATACTCTACAGGTGCCTGCTGGCAGAATGAATTACGTCCAGGAGGTTAAGAAATTATGTAGTGAATGAGTTAATTTTTTTAAGACAAAAGAAAGTTGAACAGATGATTTTGTGTAATTTAAATAGAGGTTCTACTATTTTGTACAAGTATCGCTGCTATATTTATTCTATGTGTCTGCATGTGATCGTGTGATTGGCTCGTTTTGTGCATGGTGCGCAGAGACCTCTGTACAACTTTTTTCTTCTTGTGAACAGACTGCCGGTCTTTCCTGTCTGTTTTTCTCTTCCATTCCCCATTTGCTCTAACTGACAAAATATTGCTCAAACTGTTGATCTTATTATTCTGCTGTAATTAATATTCATGACCAATTTTTATCGTGTGTGTCAGTGTCAGTGTGCTTTTTCATTGTCTGTCTAATTTTTTCCCATATTTCTTGTGCTCTTGAAGTTTTGGATGGTTTATATATAGAGGTGTCTTGATCAGGTTTATATTTTGACAGATATTTGTGGAGGCATTATACATGATTTCGAGTTGGGTTTTTTAAAGAAAGGGTAATGTTACTTTTTCTAATCTAACTGTCAGCCCAATTCCGTTAGTTTTTCAGACTTGCCAGTGTATAAGAGAATCAATTTTTCTAGGCCAAAGTGTATTCTTCTATACTTTTTAGTTTTGTAATATCTTTGTATCATGTGAGAAATTTGGTACTTTTCGGAGCATGAATTTGATCCACTTGTCTTTCTTGATAATTTTGCACCGCTGACATTTTGTTCATAGAACTCAGTCATGTATGTGTGCAATGCAAAAGCTTGTGTTAAATCACATGAGACTTAGATTTGGACCTAAGACAGATAAGATACAGCTTGACAGAGGTGGAGACTAAAGCCCGAGATGGAAATAAATAGAGAACTCTTGCTGGTGGCCTGCTCCAGCGCGGTATGAGAAAGGATGATGATAATTTCACTTTTCCTTTTCCTTTAGTGTCATTGAATATCATAGACAATTATGAGTATTGGCTCAGAGACAGTAAGCGCTCATATGACCTTATGCAGTTGCGAGCGCCGTAAAACCATATACTAAAAATAAAATAAAGAGACAGTAAGGTTGCAAAGCTCACCATTTGATTCTGAACAAAGGATTATTCTAAAGGATGGCCACTCTTTTATTTGAGGAACTACATAACGTTGTAAGATTTTCATGTGTATGAAGCCCAGAAAGCCAAATTTTTCAGGAAGGAGAAAAAACTTATTTTTTCAACAATTGTACAGAAATTATGTATCTGTGCTTGGTTTCTTTTTTTTTCAACATTTAGAATTTTAATTTCTACAAAAAATTCTTTGAGCACTCACAGGCAAAACCACAGACTAAGTAAGTGCAATAAAAAAAAAAAATTCTAAATATTTTGGGGCGTAGTGCATCGCTTCTGAACCGCAAGCTGATGACGTGACATATCTGTGTATAGAGTACAGGAAAACTTGGAGGGATTTTATGTTTCATGAGCAACTTTTCTTGTAGAAGATTTTTTTGTTTCTGTCATTATTTTTTACAGATTGCCTTTATTGTAAGGACTGTCATTCAGTGTTTTCATTTGTACTTGGTTTTGGCGCGGCTTTTCTGATGGAATACGTTTGAAGTTTTTCTCACATCTAGCGCTGAGTTTGTTGATGCAAAAAGTTTTTGTTTTGTTTGCATTTGACTGATCTGTGATGCCGTTACTTTCTGTTGATTCCTCCGAAATGTCTTTACCTTTTTGTTCATTCTGTGGAATAGGATAGCGATTGTTGCTGGTGTCTTAACGTGCATGATTCAGTTCTTATGGGAGACTGGAGAGAGCTTGTTTGATTACTGTAAGTTGCATACTGCCCTTCCCCCCC